ATTTGTGTTTCTTCGTTTGGTTATTTGTGGGTTTTTTCCCTGTATCTTAAAGAATTGATACCAGTTGAGCAAGGCATGTATGTTCCTCATTGTAGAAAACATATGTGACTACTGAAGATGACACAGTTCTAGGGTCATGAACTAGAGTTGGATATCAGGAGCAATTGAGACTGCTACCTAGTTGTTGCAGGAATGACTTAAGATTTATTATTCAAATCCCATGCAATATTTAACAGGCTTACAGTAAATAGCTTTTACTGCAATTGCCTCAATCATTTAAAAGTAACAAGTTAATCTTGAAGAGAATGTCAAATGAGGTGTGACTTAAAGTTAGCAATTCTATTCATTAGGACTTTATGAGCTGAGCATTTGGTTATATTCATTTACTTTTTTTTCAAGTTCAAGGTACCATTGCTAGGGATAACTTTGTTCCTTTAGCTAACTTACCCATTTGGGGTAGAATAATGGTCCTTCCTTAGATCAGCCTCTAACCTGGCAGCAGCAATGGTCTCACAGCCTTATAGTGAGGCATGTACCCCAGCAGGCTTCTGGTGAGAAGCTTCCAGTCCCAAGTTGCACTCAACTGCTGGTATAGAATGGTAGGTATTCATTTAATTTAGTCAACATACATTTATTGATAAATTCCAATATATCAGGAACCATGCTAAGCTTTGGAAGCACTACAATCCTTGTGTATATGGAAGTTATAGGATATTAGAGGAGATAATAAAGTAAACAGACATTGATACAGTATATATATATATAGAGAGAGAGAGAGAGAGAGAGAGACAGACAGACAGAGAGACAGAGAGACAGAGAGAGAATACTATTGGAATATGAAAGGTACACCCAACCCAACTCAGTCTGAGGGATTAAGGGAAAGCTATCTAGAGCAGCTTATTTTTTTTGGATAATATCTGAATAATAGATGAGATTTAGCCAAACTAAAAAGAAGGAAGGATGTTCTAGATAGAGAGATCAACATACAAGAAAGCCCAGAGACAAAAGACACCTTAATTTGGTGTTTAGAAATACATTCCTTCAGTATGCCTTGAATAGAGAGTGCAAAATGGTGAAGAGAGAGAAAAGGGTAATGCGATATGTAGCAATTAGATTCATCACTAATCCCACTGACCAGGCAGAGGCAGTTGGAGTTCACAAAGATGGTACATGCTTTAGACTGAGATGTGATATGTCAAATGACCACACGTACATTCTAGAAAATCGAGTGAGGGGAGAAAGCCTATGTTTTCATAACCAGTTTGGACGTTCTTGGTAATTATGAAGAGAAGCAGTAGTGGACTAGACTAAAGTACTGGCATAGTGTACTTGTTGCCTAGGGCTGTGGTAACAAGCACCACAAACTGGGTGGCTTGAAATAACAAAAAATTATTCTAGAGAGAGAAGCCCAAAATCAAGCACAGGCAGAGCCATGCGCTTTTTGAAGGTTTGGAGGAGAATCTGTTCCATACCTTTCCCTTAGCTTCTGGAATTGCCAGCAGAACTTGTTGTTCCTTGGCTTGCAAAAACATCATTCAAATCTTTGCCTCTGTCACCACAGAGGTATTCTCCTTGTGTGTCTTCACATTATCTTCTCTCTCTATGTAAGTCAATTTCTGTATCTCTACTCCTGTTGTAAGGGCACCAGTCAGATTAGGATACACCCTACCTAATGACCTTATCTTAATTATACCCGCAAAAACCCTATTTCCAAATAATGTCACATTCACAAGATACTGAGCCTTAGGACTTCAACTTAACTTTTTAAAAATTTTTTTCAATATTTTTTGTTTTTGAGAGAGACAGCACAAGTGGGGGAGGGGGAGAGAGAGAAGGGGAGACACAGCCTGCCAAAGCAGGCTCCAGGCTCTGAGCTGTCAGCACAGAGCCTGATGTGGGTCTTGAACTGAGAAATGGCAAGATCACGACCTAGGCTGAAGTAGGACACTCAACTGACTGAGCCACCCAGGTGCCCCATTGAGGGAACACAATGAAATCCATAAGGCATGATGGAAAGAGAACAGCAGAATAATTAGATGTTATGAGCTACAATTGAAATTGACTTGGAAATAAATATATATGGGAGAGGACATGTAAAAACCAACTCTAAAATCCAGATTTCATAATTAAATGCTTTGTGGAAATAAATAGTTGCTCAGTGTTTATCACAACCTGATTGTATGAATGAGTAGAACTTTTAAGTAAAGATTTCTTAATTTGGCATGGCTCCAAGTGCATAATTGAACAACCTTATATTTGCATACAATTTGTGTGTGCTTGCGTTTTTGTGTTTTTAATTGTATTCATGCATGTTTCCTAGAATTATGTCAATAGGTTTATTAGATTCTCAAAAAGGAACATGACCGTTCAATACTCCAAATGTCACTATGTATAGTCTTGGTAACTTTGCTTTTATCCTTAAATTTAGGCAGAGTACATAGCTGTATACCTGAGCCACACTGGTTGGGCTTGAGCCAAAGCAACATTTCTCTTATTGAACTCTGCTTAGTTCATGGTTCAGAGGGTGGAACTCTCTGAAAATTATTACATATTTAGGGTAGGTTTGTTTTTTCTTTAATGTTGTTTACTACATTAGACTATATTAGAGTTTTTTTTTCCCCCCTGAGAACACATGAAATAAATTTATCTCAGGTAACGATACCAAGAATAGTTATACCAGGAATTCTTTTAGAAACTATTTGTTGATACTTTAAAACATTGTAAATTTTATCATTGATTACATTTTTGATCTTTGCCTGAGTACTAGAAAGCTGAGAAGTGGATTGTCATGCCAAAAGCAAGAAAATAGGTAGTAACTTGAACACAAATTTTGTGTGCTAACGTAATTCCTGAATTCATATATTTTCTTACCTTCAATTTTCTTGACTCACTTCTCCCTTTATTTACCTTCTCCTATTCTCATTGTTTCCTTTATTTACCAAATGAACAAATAATAAGGGAGTGCCTACCATGTAACTATATATTAGGTATTGCACCAGTTCCCTGGATCCAATGATGGATAAACATGATCTCGGTTTTCAAATACCTCAGTCTAGAAGGGAAGTATTTTTTCAAGTTAATATTTACAGTAGATTGTGATTAACATGATCAAAGATCTAAAAGATAATATTAGTGCATAAAAGGGGAACACAGTCCAACAACCTCAGATAAGGTTTTCTGAAGAAAAGATAGCTGAGCTGAGCCCTGTGTAGAAGTTAGCCAAATAAAAATTGAAGGAAACAAAACTCTGATGGAAAAAAATTTAAAAAAATCAAACTCTCTGCATAAATGGTGAGATAGTGCATGCTTGGGAAGTAGAAGATTCAATACTGTTAAGATGTCAGTTGCTTCCAACTTGATCTATAAAATAGTGAAATTTCAATCAAAATCCTAGCAAGTTATTTTGTGAATGTTGACAAACTGGCTCTAAAATTTATATGGAATGGAATAAGACTCACAATAGCCAACACAATACTGAAGTACAATATCAAACTTGGAAGACTGACACTATCCAACTTTAATGCTTACTATAGAGAACTATGGTATTGTTTCCATTGTTTCTTGCCCTGGTCTCAGGTACGTTACTTGTGTGCTTATGCTGGCTCGCACTCATCTGAAGATTTAAGAGGGCCTTCCACAAATCCCTAGAACTTGCTTTATCTCTTTTTCTCTCTCTTTCTTATTCTCTCTGCAGTGCTCTACTTTATGTGATTCTGACCTGTGATCTCTAGCTGTCTTGGTCTTTCCAGACTCCCAGCTCCATCTCCTCAATTCAGCTCCATTCTGCATTAAGACCTTATAATTCACTTAAGTCATTAAGCTGAATCAATCATAGGACACACCTCATTTGTTTCCCACCACTTAAAAATCAGTCCTTTGTTTTCTATGTTCAATATCTGTAAAGCCAGTGTTTTGTGTATTTTGTCTGTTTTCTGTAATTTTAAGTGGACGAATCAGAAATCAAGTGAACAGGAATTTAAAAAGGAAAAAGTGATCAATCTAGTTAATTATATCCATTGGTACTGGCAAGAAGGGGGGGATTGGTGACCGGAGAGACCTGATAAACAAAATGGTGGGAATAAAAGCTAGATTTTAGTGAATTTATGATTAAATGGGAGTCAGGAAGTGTAAAAAGCATAACAAAGGTGACATTCCTAGGAAGCTGAGTTGAACAATGATGGAAAGGTACTGGATGACATTTGTAAGGGAAGGTGTTTTACGGTAGGTGTTATTTACTGTCAAAATCTTTGTTGAGATAAAAAATAAAGAAAATTGAAACTGACTATGGATAAGGCAGAGGTTGACAATGGTCTATAGATTGATTACCAGTCTTTTCTGTAAATAAAGTTTTATTGGAATACAGCCATGCCTATTCATTCCCATATTATTTATGTCTATTTCTGTGTTACAAGAGCAGAACTGTAGAGTTGTGCAGAGATCATATGGCCCAAAGCCAAAAATATATACTACCTGATCTTTCATAGAAAACTTGTCAATCCTTACACTAGGGATCCAATATGCAATAAAAGCCTATAATGTATTTTTAGTCATTTGGAGTTCCAAATTCAGTAGCAGTCATTTTTAATGTATTATACTAGGACAGATAACATTAATAGTATTAATGGAAATGAAAACAATAAGTCTAATTTTTTTTATTTTCAACAATAAAGGGTTAAATAAAAGTAATTTCTCAAAATAAAATTATATTGTGCTCTATCTTAATATTAGACTAAAAAGTTAACACTGATAACAAAATTTTTGAGTAAATTATTTGTTAATGGTGCAATGAAATTAAAGTTTCATTACTTAAAAATAATTTTTTCAATTAGTGATTTTGTGTGGATAGTAAATTACATATCCTGTAGAATTTTAAAAAAGAACAATAGTTGGAGTATGTAGTTTTATTTAGATTTTCAAATATGTAATATTCTATCACATTTGAGGTCAATTCAATAACAATTGAATGACTCATTCTCTAATAATTTTTAAACTTTTTCTAGGCAAAGAAGTCAAGCCTAAGCCTCCACGTATGTCATGTGCATGCCAAAAAATAAATAAATGAAACAAATCTTAAACATATGCTTTTACTCATCCTCTGACTTCATAGTTGAGTATTTGGCTTAAAATCAAAGGCTTAACTACTTTGTGTAGACAATGTGCTTAATATCCTTGTATTTCTAATATCCTTTGTATTTTTAATATCCTCTGTGTTTCTGAGAATATGCTATGCTAAAATTTTCCCTCATCCTTTGTTCACTGAAGATACAAAGCAATACCTTTTGTTAACTTCTCATAAAAATCTCAGTTCACATTTTCATTCTGTCTTAAAATAATTCATGCTGTGATTGATAATAAGGAACCTTTATTTGTCTGTTTGTATCAATTTGCTGCATTCATAAAAAGAAGAAAACTAATATGGCAGAATAAAAAACAATGAATAATATGTAAAAGAAATATGTCTAAGTACAGGATAAATATCTTTGTATAATCATCATTATTAATCTTCTATATTTTTAGAGCCACAAGTAAAAAAAGAAGAGAAACCAGGTATGTATATTTTATATATAGACTCATACTTGCATTCCATATTTATAAAGAATATCGTATTACTCCTTTGCTAATGTGTCCTAGTGCAAATATTATACAAAAATGTTATCTTTCATTAACTCTTTAAAATAAGACAAACAGGGGCGCCTGGGCGGCTCAGTCAGTTAAGCGGCCGACTTTGGCTCAGGTCATGATCTCGCAGTCTGTGAGTTCGAGCCGCGCGTCGGGCTCTGTGCTGACAGCTCAGAGCCTGGAGCCTGTTTCAGATTCTGTGTCTCCCTCTCTCTGCCCCTCCCCCGTTCATGCTCTGTCTCTCTCTGTCCCAAAAAAAAAAAAAAAAAATTTTAAAAAATAAAAAAAAATAATAATAAAATAAAATAAAATAAAATAAGACAAACATAAAGCATATTTATCTATTCCACCTCTTCCTAGAAAAGATTGTACTTATAATGGAGAAAGTGCTGAGAAATTGATATGGTTTAATTAATTAATTAATTAAATTAATAAATAATTTTATTTATTATTATTTATTATTATATAAATAAATATATAAATTTTATAATTTATATATTATATAAATATATAAAAATATATAGATATATATTTATAAATTATATAAATAATAATAAATAAATTAATTATTAAATTAAATTAATTAAGTAAGTAATTAAATTTATTCTCAAGTTAGCTAACATACAATGTAGTCTTGGCTTCAGGAGTAGATTCTCATGATTCATACAACACCCAGTGCTCATCCCAACAAGTACCCTCCTCAACGCCCATCACCCATTTTCCTCACCCTCCTAACCCCTTACCCTCATCAAACTTCAGTTTGTTCTGTATTTAAGAGTCCCTTATGGTTGCCTCCCTCTCTGTTTTTATCTTATTTTTGCTTTCTTTCCCCTATGGTCATCTGTTAAGTTTCTCAAATTCCACATATGAGTGAAATCATATGATATCTGTCTTTCTCTGACTGACTTATTTTGCTTACCATAATACCCTCCAGTTCCATCCACATTGTTGCAAATGGCAAGATTTCATTCTTTTTTATTGCCAAGTAGTATTCCATACAATATCCATTTTATATTTATATATATATATATATATATTAGATCTATCTATATATCTATATATATATAGAGAGACAGAGAGACAGAGAGAGCTCATCTTCTTTATCCATTTATCAGTTGGTGGACATTTGGGTTCTTTCCATAATTTGGCTGTTGTTGATAGTGCTGCTATAAACATTGGGGTTTGAATCAGCACTCATGTATCCTTTGGGTAAATTCTTATTAGTGCAATTGCTGGGTCATAGGGTAATCCTATTTTTAATTTTTTGAGGAACCTCCACACTGTAGAGTGGCTGCACTAGTTTGCATTCCCACCAACAGAAGAAACAATTGACTAATTGAGTCAATTACAAAACCCCTATTTTTGCTGTTTACTCTAGGACACAGACATCCTGCCAGAAAAACAGCTCCCCTCGCTCTTCCAAGTCCGATGAACATTTCTGAGGGCTACAGTAAGCAGCAGACTTTTTATAAAGAATACACAGCAATCTGATTCTCGAAACAATTGAAACTTTTGTTCATGTTTGCCAACTATTAGTGTTATAGGCTACTGTAATAAAATCCCACAAACTAAGTATCTTAGTACAGCAGAAATTTATTTTCTCACAGTTCTGGAAGGTAGAGGTCTGAAATCAAGGTGTAATCAGGGCCATGCTTCTCTTGAACCCAGAAGGACCTTTTCTTGCTTCTCCTGGCTTCTGGTGTTTGTGACCAATGCTTGGTGTTCCTTGGCTTGAAGTTGCATTATTCTAATCTGAGCCTGTGTCATCCCATGGGCATCTTCTTCCTTTGTGTCTTTATCTCTGTCTTTTCTCCTCTTCTTGTAAGGACACCAGACATATTAGATTAAGGAGCCACCATACTCCCATAGAACTACATCTTCACTAATTACACCTGTAAAGATCCTATTTCCAAGTAAGGTCACATTATGAGGTACTGGGGGTTAGGACTTCAGCCTATCTTTTGGGGGGAGCACAATTCAACCCATAAAGGCCAATCTTCTTACCCCCCCCCAAAATGCATCTCCTTCAGATGTAGCAAAATACATTCACCTCATTCCAACATCCGTAAAAGTCACAACCATTTTAGCAACAACTAAGTCCAAAATTCATCAATTCAAAGTCCCAAATCTCATTATCTTAAGCATTTATGGGTGAAACCCAGGGTATGATTCTTCTCGCAGAAAATTTCTCTCCATCTGTGAAAACAGAAGACAAATTATCTGCTTCCAAAATAAAATAGTGGAACAGGCCAAGATAGAAATTCCCATTCCAAAAGGGAAAAAACTAAAAGGAAAAGAAGGGGTTATGCATCCCAAATAAATCCAAATCATAGCAGGAAAAATTCCATTAGATGTCAGGATCTGATATCTTCTTTGACTGAGTACTGTGTCCTCTAGGCCTGCTTGGTTGCTAGCTCTGCCGTTCTATAGACCCCCCAGCTGGCAGCCGTGCCCTCTCTACTCAAGGAGTTCCCGTCAGCCCAGGTCTTTGAATCCATGGCTCTTCTCTTAGAGTTGTTTTTCTCTGTGTGTCCATTCCTGTCCAGGCCAGCATTGTTTTTACTTGTATAGAATTCTCACAAACGTGACCAGTTCTGCATTCAATTCATGAGGGTCCATGTCACTGGACAAAGAGTGTCCTCTGCAGATCTTTCCTCATAACTACATCTCTGTTCCTACCTTCTGCTAAGGTGGGTAGATTGGACCTGCAGGTTTGTCTGGCCACTCTCTTTGCTCTGTATCCAGGGCACACTATCTCGATAGGTTGAGAATTTTCCATATCATCAAGTGCTGGTGCTTTTTGATTAACAATTCACTCCTCAATTTATCTTCTCTCTCACATTTTATTATGTGCAGCAAGGAGAAATAGGGCTGCCCCTTCCACACTTTAATTGGAAATTTCTTCAGCTAAACCATGTTCTTCACTTATAAATTCTACCTCTGTTACTTAAACCCTAGTTTGGCTGCTCACTGCTTGAAAGCCAACACAGATGTTCTTTGGAAAGGAAAGGTTGCTTCATTCAACCTTGAACTGACGTCCAGGCAAACATATATGTAACATCCATCTTATGTTCAATCTGGGGTGGGGACTTAACACCAGAATAAGACAAAATTCAACCCCTGACGTCAGGAGGTTACCTTAGGACAAGAAGAAGGGGCTATGGACATGCTCTGAGAGCTGCTTTAACCTGGATGGGGTCTTAGGCTTGTTTTCTCAGGTAAGGAATTCAGAGCCTTGTTTGTTCATAGGTGAGAATCATGTAAGTTGACCTTGAGTCCAGACCTCTGTGGAGACAGCTAGTGTATTTGTTAGTGGAGTCTGAAAAGACACAATAGCTAACTAGAAGGAAACCGTTCTCAGAAAAACAAACTTTAAACCTTCTCCTAGTTTCAACTTCATTAACCCCAGGGGGCACAGTTTCACTTACTCTATCTGAGGAACACAATTCAGCCAAGCTGTCTGCCATTTTATATTAAAGATCACCCCTGAAGTATATCCAATAGCATGTTCCTCATTTCCTTCTGGGACCTTACCAGAAGCACATTTAATGTTCCTATTTCTAGCAAAATTTTGTTGATATATGTATTTGATGATGATATACATATTTTCTAAATTATCAGAAGGCTTCTTCCTAGCTCTTACCAATTCTAAGTCCTCAGCAGAATAGACCCTAATGTTGGTATTTCTGCCAATATCCTTTTCGAGGCAATCTAGGCTTTTTTTTTTTTTTTTTTAATCAAGTGTCTTAAAAATCTTCCAGCCTCTTCTCATCAGCCAATTCCAAAACCACTTTCATATTTATATGTATTTGTGACAGCAGCACCTGATCTCCTGGTACCAAAATCTATTAGTTTCCCTGGGTAACTGGAATAAAGTATCACAAACTGGATACCTTAAAACAACAAAAATTTACTCTCTCACAGATCTAGAGGCTTGAAGTCCAAAGTCGAGATTTCAGCAGAGCCATGTTCCCTTTGAAACATGTAGAGGAGAATCTTTCCTTGTTTCTTCTAGCTTTTGATGTTGTGAGCAGTCCTGGTTCCTTGGCTTATAGATCCATCACTCTAAGCTCTGCCTCCACCATTACATAGCCTTCTTCTCCCTGTGTCTCCTTTGGTGTCTCTTATCCTCTCCTTATAAGGACACCTGTCAGATTGGATTAAGGACCCACCTTATTCCAGTATGACCTCATCTTAACTTAACCAATCATATCTGCAACAATTCTATTTCCAAATAAGGTCACATTCTGATATATGGCAGATTAGGACTTCAACATATCTTTTTGTGGGGTACAATTCAAACCATAACTCTGTTTGTCTAAATTTCTAAATCACATAAGAACTTAATTAGATATATTTCAAAGATACTCTTCCTATTCCGCCATCAAATCATTTACCTTATACTGACATTGAAACTATACTCCACAATAATCATCTTGAGAAAACAGATTTTTCGAATTGAAATCAATCAGCAGTAGCAGCAACTTAATGACAGATAAGTACATGGCATGATATTAACTACTGTGTGTTTAATAGTCCAGCTCTGGGGTGCCTGGGTTACTCAGTTTGCTAAGCATCTGACCTTTTTTTTTTTAATGTTTATTTATTTGTTTTTGAGAGACAGAGAGAGAACACGAGTGGGGGAAGGAGCAGAGAGAGAAGGAGACACAGAATCCAAAGCAGGCTCCAGGCTTTGAGCTGTCAGCACAGAGCCTGACGTGAGGCTCAAACCCACGAGCGGTGAGATCATGACCTGACCAAAGTTGGACACTAAACCAACTGAGCCACCCAGGCGCCCCAAACATCTGACTCTTGATTTCAGCTCAGGTCATGATCCCCTGGTCGGCGGGGTCAAGCCCTGTGTCAGGCTCTGCACTGACAATGTGAAGTCTGCTTGGGATTCTCTCTCTCTCCCTCTCTTTCTGCCCCTCTCCTGTTCATACACACTCACTCTCTGTCTTTCTCTCTCTCTCTCTCTCTCTCTCTCTCAAATTTAATAAATAAACTTAAAAAAATAGTCCAGCACTAACAAACTAGCAGGAAACTGAAATAATTTTTAGTAAAATTCTGCCTTTTTAATAATGGTAAACAGAATAAAATAATTTCTAAAAATGAATTTGTGCTCTAGTTTATTTTTTCAGATTTTAAAATTTCTGCCTTTTTGTTTCCCTTTAGAGTCACAAGTAAAAAAGGAAACAAAACCAGGTAAAAAATATTTGTATTCTTAAATAGATACAAAGCTGATATTGCCTTCATCTTAGAACTAAAAGAGGCTTACCACCCACCAATGGAGATTTACAGGGTGTCCCGGAGCCTTATTGTTTTTCTTACTCTGTTGCTCAGTATGGTTTTATATCACTGGATTAGCTGAGAAGGGGGATATTCTGTAGGCAAAAACACCTAGAATATGGCTTTAAATGGACCACAGCAGATACTCTAGGTTTCAGGAGAGATGTCTGGGAGTCCTTCAACCCTAGTATTATCATATTTAATTTGTAGGTTTATTTCCAATGACATAGCAGTGACAAAAATCACAGACTACTGGGATTTGAAGAGAAAAATGACAAGAATTTATTAAACACCTGTTAGGAGCTAAGGAACAGCTTAGGACTTTTATTTTCATTATAATGCTGTGAGATACATGGAACATGACAATTATTATTCATATTTAATGTGTGTGGAAACAGCTCAATAGACTCCACTCAGAAAATAATTTTTTTTTTCCAAGGTTTTCCAGCTAATAAATGTTGGAGCTAGGATTCTGCCCATGTCGGATTAACTCAAAACTCTGGGTGCTTCCACTAAGAAATTGTCCCAGACTAATGATTATCTTATGAAGAGGTAACATTGACCTAAAACCAGAGTGACCTTTCCAAGTTTACATTGCTATTTAGTGTTTAAGTCCTAGCTCTGGTACCAACTAACCACTGACCTGAGGCAAGTTAAAAAAAAAAAAAACCCTCAGGCTCCATGGAAGCTATTTCTTCACTATAAAAAATTGCATAGCAAGCTTCCTCAATGTCAACAAATTCAAGAATACAAGTTTAGGGGCGCCTGGGTGGCGCAGTCGGTTAAGCATCCGACTTCAGCCAGGTCACGATCTCGCGGTCCGTGAGTTCGAGCCCCGCGTCGGCTCTGGGCTGATGGCTCAGAGCCTGGAGCCTGTTTCCGATTCTGTGTCTCCCTCTCTCTGCCCCTCCCCCGTTCATGCTCTGTCTCTCTCTGTCCCAAAAATAATAAATAAACGTTAAAAAAAAAAAACTTTAAAAAAAAAAAAGAATCCAAGTTTAAATGTACATACAACACTATATTACCCTTTTAATTCTCACCAAAACTTACCTAGCAACTGATCAGAAGCTTGATCCTAATTGCTCTTATAAATAATATATTGTTAATGTATCAAGGCTTATGAATGCCTAAGTACTGTCTTATGATTTATTTTTTTGACTGTATTTTTTTTGCTGCAATTCAATGTTAGCAGATGGAAACATTTTGCATTTTCCTTTGTTTTTAAACCAGAAACCATTGGAAACTTCTAGTTAGGCCCAATGCCATTTCAAACTTTTATTTATTATTGGAAAATAACACAATTTTGCAGGTAATTTAATTGATTCTGTTTTTTATATATAAATGTTTCCTTTAGAACTTCATCTGAAAAAAACTCAAATACATAGGACATGTATTAATTTTATCTATAATGCTTACATAGAATTTTGACAAGAAAATTTTAAATATTTCCAGTAATATGCGTTTGCTATCTATGCTTTAGTATTTATGCTTTGTTACAACTTATCCTTTGTAAAATATAAGTACTTAAATGTAAATAAGAATTCTTGTTATATTGTTTTCATGCAACCAAAACCATTAAATTTTTCACTTAAAATGACATGAAAACTTAGAAACAGTTTTTTTCTGTGTGGACATATTTCCGACATGTGTCTGTTATTTTCTGCTAAACAAGTCACTGGCCTATGGAACAGAGAAGAAAATCACCGTATGTTAATTTATAAAGCTTCTAAACATCTGAAAAGATTTTATTTTTATTATTTTCAGAACAAGACAGAGCAAAACCGGAAAAGACTGTTTCTCATGGTAAACCAGGTATTTTGCAGGTGGTGTCTATAGTATAAAATTGTCTCTCCATGTTCTGGTTTCAGCAGAATGAAGAGTCTCATGTCAAATCTAAAGTTTTTAGGGACGATTCAAGTCTTAAGTCACCCAACTTCTAGAACATCTCCAATTTTAGTCATCTCCACCATATTTTTTGAACTGAGGACTTGACGTGTAACAGTAACTACACAGTCTATCCCTTCTCATCAAATACTTAACTGAGTAAGATCGTCACCTCCAGCTCTGAGGTGAATGGGCTCCATGGTTTACTTCTGTTCTGCATGGGACAAGATGTCCTTGGGAAACGTACAATTCAGAACGGCTCGTTCAAATATGACATCTTACATTTCAAAACCCCCAAGAAAAGGAAATCAACATTTCTCCCTGTTTCCTCTCCTTCCTTCCTCCGTCTTTGCCTCACTTTCTTTTTTTCCAACCCTGATCTTCCATTTTGGAGAAAGTAGAGGTAAGCCAGTGTGTTCTGCTCAGAAAGCGAGATACAGAATTTACCAAAACAAATGTATTAATTGTTTTTTATTTAAGACTAAAAACTTTTAAGTTTTCATTTACGCTAATTAAATATGACTTTAATTTTGAGGCAGTCCCAAGCCTCAGTTATTGTCCTTCATTCCAGGCTGAATTGTTTACCCGAAGTTGTAAATGTGGTTAGGCCAGAATCTTTAATAAGGTAAAAGCATACTTTCTGTAAGCATATTTTAGGAAACATTTTCCTTATACTTCTAAAATTTTTACTTCAGGAAAACTGTTTACAATGGGTTTGAGTCCATTTGCTTTCATTTGCTCATGCTTTAAAATACATGACACACCAACAAAGAAGCTATAGGAGTAGAAAAAGCAGAGCTGTAGTGTGAGGAACCAAGAATAACCATCTATATTGACATAACATAACCTTAGAACCTCCTTATTTAATGAATGATAAAATCTTGCTATTTTCTTGACTGTCCCAAATGTCAGTCATTTTGAGCTGAAATACAGAGAGTGAGAGAGTTTAGTCTCCAAGTATACAGCAAGCACACTGTCCTCCAGCCACACCTTTCTTTTATTTTAGTGATAATATCCGTATTCGAAATTCTGCTTCCCAGGGAAACGTTCTAATTGATTAATTCCCACTGCTGAATTATTGAAAAGTTTCATTTTACATAGGATCATTTTAATAATCTCTCTACACCGATCCAAGTCTCTTTGGTTATGTCTATAAAAACATAGAGAACAGAAGACATCCCATAAATGTACCACTTTGCCCTTCCCCAGCTTTGCACGATAAAACACACACACACACACACACACACACACACACACACACACAAAACAAAAACAAAAAAAAACCCCCTTGGGTCCCTAGGCTAATCCTGGGTTCCCAGGGAGGTATTTTGCACTAGAGAAATTAAAAAATGCTTCTTCCTGTTCCAGTTCAATTATTAAAAAAAGTATATGTGCTTTTTATTAAAAAAAAAAAAAAACAGAACAAAACAAAACAAAACAACCCCTGCATAGATAAATACAGTGAAATACAGTGAAGGCAAGGCATAGGGTGTATATTGGCAGGTTAGGGGACGATTCCAATTAGGAAAACTTTTTTGGTAGGATAGTTGCAAAGGATGTCTGCAGCTGCACACATTTTCTTTGTGCTCCATCCAATTTGAATAGAAGATATAGCTTGCTGTGTTTTTGGAAAAACAGCCAACTTTTTCTCAGTATTGGTGTTATTTCAAAGAGAATACAAAATATCAAAGTTGACTTATGTCACTGTTTTATAGTAATGTATTTAAATTTCCTACTTGTGTTAAAATTTTTTCCTATCACAGAAGAAAAAGTTGTCAAGCAGGTAAAAGCTACTACAATAGAAAAACCAGGTAAGATATTTCATATTTTTCTTCTGTGTATCAGCTTTATGTTACATGGGTACACGCACACACACACATTTTCACTGAAGTGTATAGTTTCAGTGCCATAAATTTAAAAAATTTTTTTTAATTTTTTTTCAACGTTTATTTATTTTTGGGACAGAGAGAGACAGAGCATGAACGGGGGAGGGGCAGAGAGAGAGGGAGACACAGAATCAGAAACAGGCTCCAGGCTCTGAGCCATCAGCCCAGAGCCTGACGCGGGGCTCGAACTCAGGGACCGCGAGATCGTGACCTGGCTGAAGTCGGACGCTTAACCAACTGCGCCACCCAGGCGCCCCAAATTTTAAAATTTTGAATTCTTATAAATCACTAAAATATATACTCAATAAATTAACAGTGGAAAACTAAAGAGATATAATTTAATTTTTAAGTGTGCTTGATCTAAGCTTGCATATAACTCATAAAGTAATCCAAGTAATACATTGATTATCATATACTATTAGGTGTTTAATCTTATTTCATTTTAACTTATTTTTAAGTTTATTTATTTATTTTGAAAGAGACAGAGACAGCACACAAGCAGGGGAGGGGCAGAGAGAGGGAAAAAGAAAGGATCCCAAGCAGGTTCCACACTGGCAGTACAGAGCCTGACACCGGGCTCAAATTCATGAAACTGTGAAATCATGACCTGAGTTGAAACCAAGAGTTGGATGATTAAGTGACTGAACCACCCAGACACGCCATAGCATATAATATTAAAATAGTTCATCTCTCAGTATTTCCTGTGAGGAGAAAAAAAGGAACATACACACATCTCTCATTCTGAAGTTCTTTCCTAGAGGGATGAATAAAATGGAGTCTTCATCTCACCTGACATCCTAAACCATTGAATCTTTTCCATTGAATTCCAACATCGAAATTCTACCCACCTGGACAACTGACAGTTAATAGAGTCCCATTTCTTACAAAAAAAATCATTTCAAAGGAAAAAGTCTGTGAAGTAATTTTTTCATTTTAACTGAAAGAATCATGATAATCAGGATTTAAATACAGTTTCTCAGTGGAAAATATAATAGAATTCAGGAAAGAACTAATTATTTATATAATTATATACTATTAACACATGAGGAAAAAAAAGAAACCTTATGAGGCCATTTACACATGACCTCATATGTCCTTTGTACTCTATTACAGCCATTGTCAAAGCTCATAATTTCAGCTAATGTTCCTCTAATGTGCCCCCTAAGGTGTTAATGTGGCCCCATGAGTATTTCATTTAGTTATATGGGTATTTAGAGATTATCAAGAAGCTAGCCCAATGTACTTGTGTGCCAAATATAGAGATTGCTTTAAACTTTGCATACATTCTGTGTGTCATAAATTTTCAGAAAGCAGTGTAATTGATATATTTGCTGACAGTGAAAGGATAGTGCTCAGAGAGAATGGAATAGCTTAATATAAGAAGAGAATCTAAAACTAAGAAGAAATAAACACAGGTGCTAAAAAGTTATTTTTTCAAAGGTTTGCACTCATCAATATGCCATTTACTTTTCTCCACTCTTTACAGTCAAGCTCAAACCAACAAGTAAGAGATGAAAAGAATGAAATCTGAAAACTAACGCTTGGCTATTTTAATTTTAACACTTTGCTTGTTTTTTCTTTAATTGTTAATGTTGGTGTTGCCTAAGTCTAAATTACCTGTATAGATGACAAAATAAGGTTTTGCAATAGCTTTGATTTAACATCTTTGCCTTTCCCTAGTAATTAATACCTTGCTATAATTATCCAGAAGAGATCTCTGGAAGTTGTATCACCATTACTAATACTAAAAGAGCGATTCCTTATAGGCTATAAAATACCACTAAGAAGTTAGAGTAAACAGGCAACCCTTCAAACACACACAGTGAATAACCAAGGAAAATAAAATGATACACAATTATCAGTGTTATGAACCACATATTGATTTTGATTTGTTTGTTTTAAGTAGCATTAATTATATTGTAGGTAGACTTTGCTTTTTCAAAATCCATGAGATTGTAATCATATTACCATTTGTTTATTAAAATCATGAACTTTTCTTAGGAGTGTGAACTTAAAAGATCATTAATTTTACTGCTCAGGAATGATACAGAGATTACAGTGACAGAGAGTTTAATAGGTGACTATTAGGCTCAGAAGGGCAATAGGCTCCTTGTCACATAGATAGTAAATAAGTCCAAAATTGTCTCCAAGTTTTGATCTTGGTCCTTGAATGTCATGTATATGAAACAACTTCAATGAAAGCATGATTGGCTGTTGCTCAAATATGCTCCGGATCCTATATCAAAAAAAGGATTGACCCCATCCAAAGATGAATTGGGTGAGATCAATTAGGAGACCATATGGGTGGTTTCAGGAGATAATATGCAAATATGTGTAGCCTAATAGAACATATTCACATCCTGGAACCTGTTGCATATGTTTTGAATATGCATTTTTATGATTATTATTACTGTAATCCATTATACTTTTGTAGTTGCCTTTATTATGACAGTTTAAGAAGTTGAGTATCAGCTTTTCAATTTTATTTTATTTTGCATGCTTATTTAATATTAACATTTATGCTGGGGCGCCTGGGTGGCGCAGTCGGTTGAGCGTCCGACTTCAGCCAGGTCACGATCTCGCGGTCCATGGGTTCGTGCCCCGCGTCGGGCACTGGGCTGATGGCTCAGAGCCTGGAGCCTGTTTCCGATTCTGTGTCTCCCTCTCTCTCTGCCCCTCCCCCGTTCATGCTCTGTCTCTCTCTGTCCCAAAAATAAAAAAAATAAATAAATAAATAAAAACGTTGAAAAAAAAATATTAACATTTATGCAAATTAAGTTCATGAAAGTGTATTCTTAAATGCTATCAATCTCTAATTTACAAATATCCAGTTTAGTCTTATGACAACATAGGTTCCGCATCTTCCCACATACTTCACTGCTGGTGCATGACGTTGGGGAAACATAGTAGTACTTTTAGAATCTCCAAATTCAGGAGTGAGTGAAGAAAAAGACAGATAAACATCAGTAACAGCTCAGGAGGACTAACCCAAGGTGATTAGAAAGAACTAACACTTGGCAATGATCCAAATATCCTCAACTCCATTCAATGTATCCTACCCATAATGGCTTCATTTGAAATTCCACTTTTGATGAAGGAGAGAGATCTATTTTTTTTATTTCCAATATTTTTCATGGGACTAAGAGAGATACCAATTACACATTTGATTCCATTTGTCATGTCCTCGAATTAACAGATTCATCTGTGAGAGTTCTAACTGGACCTGGAAAGAGAAAGAAGTCCAGGAAAACAAAAATACAAAATGTGGTACTTTCTGGCATAGGGTGGGTCTAGGTTCAATTTTCAACAATAAAATAATGTCCAGCACAAATTACTTCTGATCTGGCAAGAAAGGAACTAGAAGGAGTCGGAGAGGTACAAAGGGGAGCTTGTAAAATGCCAAAGAGAAATGTCATCTGCTTTAAAGTATCCCTAAGGAATGACTCTACCTTTAGCAGAGAAAGAAAAATCCTCTTTTTATTCTCCTTTTGTCGTAGTCTAGCCTCTTCTTCCTATACCACGTGGCCTCAAGAGGGCTAGTACCTTTGTATCTTACAGGTTGCCCTGAGAATGAACCTGACTGTGTTTATAATGCGTTTCTATGGCAATATGCTTTCTGAGTTCCAGCGTGCAAATGACTTTGAGGGCATGCTTCCCACTTGTAAACACATAAATAAGAAATGCTTTCTACACAAATAATCCACAGATTGCCAATTAATTTTTAATTTCTTTTTCTAGAAAAAGCTGAACATCAAGAAAAAGAATCTCCATCTATAAAAACAGGTGTTTTTACATTCTGTCTTAATTGCCTCTTTGTATTAAATTTAAAAATTAAAACAAAGCCTACAACTGTTTTCATTTTGTCCTGGTGATTTTTAGTCTTGTGGTTTTGCAGCAAAATCTAGTTTATCTGATATAGATAAGCTGACAATCATACATTTTGCTGAGTATTATAACCAGTATGTATAGGATTGCCAAACATACTGTTATAATACAGCAGTATATTTGGTTTCACGTTTTTTTTTTTTAATTCTAGTTATGTAACATATAGTGTAATATTGGTTTCAGGATTAGAATTTGGTGATTCATCACTTACATATAACATCCAATGCTCATCCCAAGAAATGCCCTCCTTAATACCCATCACTCATTTAGTCCACTCCCTGTCCACCTCCCCTCCAGTAGCCCTCAGCTTGTTCTCTATAGTTAAGAGTCTCTTATGGTTATAATACAGCACTATTAACAAAATAGTATTTGATTTCATGATTCACAAGCACCTTTCACTGTTGCCAAAATCAATGTCATGTGTCATACTGATTAAGTCAATTCACTGCTGATAGTATTGTAAAATAACTTGCCAAATTGCACAAATTACATTTTACTGAAAACTAATCATGAATTTCAGCTTGATATATTTTCTTAAATATAAAATATATAATTGCTAGCTTAATATTTAAAAAAATACTACTCAAATTTTAAAACTATAATAGTTGGCATGGTTCAAACACGAAGGCATACACTATAGGAGACTAATTGTGAAAATATACCTCCTTCTCCTCTTTTTCCCTATTCTACCAGTTCCTATTCCAAAATATCCAATAGGTAATGACTGTTATTTCTTATTGTCTCCTTCTAGCAACATACATACATAGCATATACACATAATATACATATATATGCTTATACATGCTTACATAAAATATATATCCCCACTTTTATTTTTTTACACAAATTATGACATACTCTATAAGTTACCATGTCCCAGATTTTTCTATTTAAGAATGTATTTTGAAAATTTGAATTTGAAATGTAAAAATTAATTCAAATTTTGAAATTTTAAATTTGAAATGAATTTTACATTTCAAATTTGAAAATTTGAATGTATTTTGAAAATAATAGTATTCTATTAGATAGTTGTATAGTTAACTAATCTCTGTTTGGTATGTTTAGGTTGTCTAACAAGATTTCTATAATGATACAAAATTATATATATATATATATATATATATATATATATATATA